ATCTCAACCAACAAACCGAACCTTAACTTTACAAGTGAAGTATACTTCACTTAGAGAACAAGTGTGGTCGTGTCCTACAACAAGATCAGCGCAAGGAGTTTTTTTGCATGTTTTGTTCTATATTCCTTTTAAAAAATATTTCTTGTTTTCTAACCATCAGCGAGCGCAGAGTTCACTACCCCGTAGTGATTCCACAAGCTTTTTCCTGAGTGGAAATAGTTGACTTAGACCCCATTATTATGTAATTACACTTAGTGTTGCTTCACCCCAGCATCTTTCTTTGTATTCATTAGCATTTAGTTTTGCCCGCAGTGTTATGGCCCAGGTAACTCTGTGTCTTGAGATCCTTCTCTAACACATTCCAGTCAGTTTGGATATCCTGAATAATTCTGTACCATCAGCAAACTTTGTTACTTCATTGTTTACCTGTTTTCTAGATCGTTTATGACTATTTTGTACCGTTCCGATCTCAGCACAGATGCTGCCTTCTTATAGCTTTACACATTGGAGGCTTATAAAGCAAAAGGTGCTATTACTTCATGATGAAAGAATCCCAACCTCTCTCCAGTACAGCAACAACGTTTCACAGCAGTACTGATGGGATAGCCTGACACATCTCCCAGTGTGTTCCAGCCCCCTTTTGTCTGCAGGTAACTTTAACCATGCAGTTACTTACTGTGAGTTCTTTCATTTTGGGACACTCACAGTTGCTTCTTTATCTTGAATTACAGAATTCATTCTCACTCAGCCCTCTCAGGGACTGAGAAAGATATTGGATCTATCTGATGAGCACAGTTATGGATTTCTTCCCTTTTGTATGCATTTCAGTTTATTGGAAAGGCAACAAATAGAAAGGATGAATAGACTCCCTGCAGGGTGTGTATTCTCTGCGGCACAAAGCCAGAGCTGCTGAATAGTTCTTGTAGACCCCTTTCCTGGCAGGTCATGGCTATTCCTGGGATTAGTGGTTGCGGAGCCACCACTTGCTTTTGGAGCTTGCAAATCTATGTTCCCACTCCAGAGGCTCCACTAAGCAGTCTTGTAACAACTGAGTATTTCATAGCAACTGATATTTGTTTTTGGAGCTTCCTAATTAGCAATCATTAGGTAGCTGTTGCAATTACTAGAAGTTCAGGAAGCAACGTCCCCATTTTACAATGGGCAAAGGAAGGAATAGGAATCTGAAATGGCTATTGAGTCACCACTGTCAGAGCTGGGATTAAAGTCCAGTGTCCCAGCTCTATATTTTAAGCATTTATATTCTCTTTCTTAGTGAGGCAGTCAAGTAAAGACATAGGTGCTCTTGGGAAGAAGAATTCAAGACAGAGAAAGAGAGACAATAAAGGGAAGGTGAGATCAGATTGTGCATCAGCCCAGCTCTACAGATCCACTTTCTTCCAAAGAGTACATCCTTGCCTTCCCCTTGACCTCTTCCCCCTTGCACAGGAATGAGAATCAGCACTTTCTGGCTACCAGTAACAGCTGCTGCACTAGGGGGATTAATCTGCAGGAGGACACATTATCACGCAGGACAGGCCACGAGCCTGCTCCGCAGCCCCAAATACTGCTGGAGAGAGAACAGGCAGGGTGGAAGGAGGCTCTGGAACATCCCTTTGGAGAAGATCATTGATAACAGCTTTTCTCTGACAACTGACAAGCTCCTCCTTTTTTATGGTGTCAGTCTACCTTCCTGGATTTGTGGGCCCAGCACAGGGCAGGACTGGAGATTAACTAGTTAATGCCCTTGGTTTTATCCATCTCCTTTCTGGAGCTTATCAGTTGCTGTGGGGCCCTTTGGACTTAATTGCCTGTTGAAAGCGCAGTCCCTGGGCAGGCTGCTGAGGTCCTGTCACCAGAGCGGCTCCTGGGAAAGCAGTATGTCTTCTGCGAGAAGCCGATGAGTCTCAGTTGCCTGTTGCTAAATAAGAGACTTGTGGTGGAGTTAAACATTAACATCCTTCCCAGCTCCCATCTGTTCAAGGTTCAAGAGGGAAGCCATGCTGAGTCAGCCTGGCAGCTGTATTTCCTGCTCCAGCTCTCTCCTCCCTCGGCGTGATTCACTCACTCCCCCTTTCCATCAGGAAGTCTTAGTCCTGGATGAAACAATAAGTAAGAGGCAGAGGAATGCTTCAGCTCTCTTGTGCCAGGTCACTGGAGATCAGCTCCTGGTAACTTGATACCCTGATGTCTTCCCTGGCTGTCCTGAAAGTAATCTTGGTGCAACAAGGAGAAACGAAGCTCATGGGTACCAAAAGCTGAGCCTGAGCTTTCCGTCAGCTGTAAGCAACCCAGGGCTCGTGCCACGCAGCCAGGCTGTTCTGTTTCCAGGCAGCGCTGGACATAGCCTATGAACACATAGGCCAGTGTATTGTTGTCTCACCTTTTGCTGTGTGTATTGCTGTGTGTATTGCTTTTATACGTGCACCTTAATTAGAAAGGTCCTTGTACATCCTTGTAACTGTGGCAGTTTCAAGAGAGTGGCTCATTAGCAGGGAAGGAGGGTAGGCAGAAGATGAGAAGAGCTGTTCGATTTAATATTATTGCCATGGTATATACACTCCAGCACTGCCAAGTCTCTGGGTGTAGCCAGAGCCTGACATGGGAAATTGATTGTTCAGTGCTGTTGCCGGGCTGCCTCTTAGAGCCAGAGCTGCGTGCAGTTTGCCTTGTGCCGGTGTGCGTTGGAATAAGAGCCAGCAATTGCTGTTCATTAGCTCAAAGGCTGCCTGAGGCACCTATCCCACACTGGTGGAACGTGGTTTTGCCTGGAAAGCAAATCGTTTACTTCAGCATCGATGGAAGTTTGTGAAAACGCAACTGCACAATCTCTGCTGAGCTCAGACCTAGAAACAGAGCCAAGAGTCTCACTGGCTTTGGATAAAACTTCGCTGTGGTTACAGGCATCATGGGATCATGTGATGGTGCTGCTGATCTCTCCAACGCTGTGTTCTTGCCTTGGGCCTCTTCTACTGTATAGTAGCACATTTTAGAGTTCAAAACATAGTCTCCTTGCTAGGCTTGGTATTTATTGATATCAGAATTGTCATTCAAGGGTTGCTGATGAAACTTTTTACTCCTCTGCCTCTACTTCTATTCCTGATTCCCCCAGCCTCCTTCCTACCATGCCAGCCCATACAAAAGGCTTCAGCCTCCTCAGCTAAGGGGTTTCTAAACAGACATAGCTTCTCCCTTCAGCATAGAGGCACTCTCCTGTCTTCTTAGGACAGTGTCACCTATATCTAGTCCTCAAATGCTGTTAGTTGCCAGAGTCGAGTGAATTAATAAGGAACACAGCTCTAAGCTGGACTCTGAGCCCCTTTGAGACGTGCTGACAGAGGAATATATTATGCCTTGAAATGACTTGAAAAAAATGAACTCTAGAGAGGGAGAAGAGCAGGAAAAAGCGTCAGTTGTGAGCTGCCGCCCTCTCCTGAGATCTCTCCTCCTGCAATGAGGGCAGCCCTTGCTCTCCCATGACCTCTTTCTTCCTGCAGGATAATGAAAGTCAGCACCCTGTAAAGGCAGTCAGAAAGTCAGCTGCTCTGCCACAGGGTTAGTCCTCCAGATAGATGAAAGGAAAGTGGTTTAGTGTCCAAATGAATGTCATGGCTTTAAAGAAGAATTAAAGCCAGATGTTTCCAACAGGCCTGTTGAGGCCAGCCTTTTCTGGCATATTTACCAAGCCACCAAGGAGACCCAGCTAGTGTCTGCAGCCCTCCATTTTTGTTGGGAACACTCTGTAATCCCAGCGGCTCCTCTGCGATTGCTGGAGGCACGCTGGCTGTCCAGAAGGACTGCACACACGGAGCTGGGGCAGAGATAATGCTGCCAGCTCAATATTTATTCAGTGTTTGTCAATATTTATTCCTCACCGATAATGGTGATGACAGCAGGGGTGTAATAACCAGACAAAATTTAGCACCTTCTGCCTTTGAACAAAACACTGGGGCCAAAAGGTGGCTTAGCTGTGCTGGCATCAGCTCTAATTTCACTCAGAGGCTTGCAGGCACAAGGCAGCACACTATGGTTCAGGGAATCCAGAACATAGTCCCTGTCCCAAGGTCTAACTTCATACTCCTCAGATAGGCCTGGTGTTTATTTTAACAGGCGGGTAAAGCTTTTGCGGTGCAGGGACTTCATCAGAGCCAGGGAGAGCGCGTTATATTCTTGTCTTGCACAGGGCTTGATGTTTGTACTCAGCTACCTGGTTGAAGCTAAGGACCATTCAGGTGCAGGTAGAACAGATGTAAAATATTAGGAAAAAGGAAACTGAATCCTTGCCTTAGCGCAAGTCTGGGAAAGATCAACATTTCCTACTTTGCTAGGGAGTAACCTAAACCTCAGGACTACTGGGTGTGTGGTTCCAGCTCACACCCAGCAGTAATTAATCTTGTTGCCAGTGTAGCTGCTCCAGGCCCTCAGACTACAATAGCTAGTCAGAATAGGTTTTGTATTTTTGGGTCTGCCTGGTGGTTATAGCATTCAACTTTTGGCCTCTGAAGGACAAATTCCTGATGCTGTGCCCTCAGCATTGCTTTGAGGTGGAGTTTCCTCTTGTGAAATCAGCCGGTGCTGAAAATGTCCTGTTGGCTTTGAAGACGGGGAAAGGCTTTGCTTAGCGTTGCAGACATATGTGTCACACTCCTCATCTTCCTCCTGCCCCATCCTGACCACTGGGATGTTCCTGCTCTAGAGTAGCAGACAGGATATGCTTGAGATCCAGGGTGCTGTTGGATCGCCGTCTTCTACTGGGGAATAAATGGCAAATTCAAAAGGCGCACCCTAAAGCAAGCGAAAGTAAATATAGCAGAATAAAGTTAGGGGGCAGGAAATCTAAATTTCAACTTTTTTTTTTCTGTTGGTGCCCACTCTAATAATCAGATACTTTGACATATAATAAAACTCTATAGCCTGACTCCACAAAGCTGAGCAAACGATTGCTGTAAAAAAGGAGCTTTGTACCATGCCATTTGTTCTCACAACGCTGCTTCATATTTCAGTATATACATCACGTTCATTCTGCTCTGGGACATTATGGACAGAAGTTGCAATTGTTTCTGCTGCAGTTCCAAAAGCAACTGTCAAGAGAAGGCCTTTGGGAGAAGAAAGGTGAGCCAGACAGCAGACTCCATGACAGTGCTGGATGGACTTCAAGAAAAACTTTGCCTCACCACCCTCCTGTAAGGGAACAGTAGATGGTGACTAACAGGAAAGAAACTTGACCATGGTGTTAGCACAAAACTGTTTGTATTTGCCTTCTAGATATGTATAGAACCTTATCTGATCATAGCATGTACTATACCCTGAATTGTATTGCTTCTGCACCCTTAGAAGACAGACAAAATTATTGTTATAAAAAATGAATTATTTAGTAGCTGTACAGATTGGCTGTTTTTCCACCCCATCTGCACTTTAAAGCCAGTGTGGTTACAGTCTGTAAGAACTCTGCCAAAATTGGAAATATCCTGACTGATGTCCACAGCACACCGACCACTTTATTGGCCAGGCATTTCAACTAAATGAGGTGATCTCGCAGGAGCAGCGCAGCACCAGCTTCAGGAAAATGATCTAATCTGAGCATTAACAATGATTTGCATCACATCAGGGCCCGATTTCAAAGGTCCTGAGCTCCTGTAGGATATCCAGGTATTCAGCATGTCTGAAAATAAGGCTCATAACTGCTTTGTGCGACAATTTCTCCATTGGTTTGATATCTCAGTATAAGGCAATGGGTGCACTAAAAATTAATGAGCAGATTCTGGAGGTAAAGAGCTCTGTAAAACAGGATAATACTTAACTGCTTCACAGGGGGCATAAGGATTAATGAGTTAATGTTTGCAAAGTGCTTTGAAGATGAAAAGTGCTAAGTCTTATTACATCTGGTGGATGAAGTAAATGAGCATGAGGAACAGGTTCCCAATTCCATCCTGTAACTACCAGAAACAAGGTCTCTCTCTAAATGTCATAATAAATAAGGCTCTGAAGGTGGTTTGCTCTCATACTGTCCCTCGCAGTTTATATTCAGAGCGCCCCTGGCATCGACAGGACAGAAAGAAGGGTTTCACGCTGATCCCACAGACTGCAATGGGTCACTTCCCGTTTACTTTGCTCCAAGTTATTTATTCTTTTACTCTAACTTGCTTTCTTTCATTCTTATGTGTATGTCTTGGAGATGCTGTTCAGGGAAACTCCTGCAGAATCTGCCAGCTGGACCATCAATTTATAGTACAGCTTGTGCTACAGTTTCTAATCTCTTTGATGGACCTTGATTACTTCACTGGCTGTAACTTAAACACTGCCATTGGCTAGACCATAATTGCAGGTAATACTGTTAAGCAGGGTCTGGGTTCCCTTGCTGGGCAAGTGGCAGTGTAGGAGCATTGTCTGTGAAGGCTCCAAAACGGTATCCTTCACCCGAACATCCATTACAAAATGTATTACTTCCTTAACAGAGTATTTCTTGATCATCTAAAATCCCCAGACAACCCAAAACCTCTTAAATTTGCTGTATAATTTCCGTGGAATCTTTCCATGTCCTTTCTCTGTTGTGCTAAAGCAAAATGGTTTCAAGGTGTTTTTTCCCCTGCGGAAATCCCCTTCACGGCACCATTCTCCAATGCAACCCCACGTGGCCCTGCGTAACGCCACGTGTGAGCTGTCTGCGATTCCCAGTGTGTTTGATGCTTTCAGTAGGTGAGATCTGGTCCTTTGTCTCTCAGTCCGATGCTTTGATGGCTCTGCAACGTTAATATTAAACGTGCAATGCCTAGCATTGGAGGTTCAAGTTCCAGTGGGCTCTACTGAGTCCCTCCTGTGTAGATGAACTGATTTTACGCTCTTTGGCCTAGATTTACAAAGCTACTGAAAGACATCAGTGGATTTATGCCCTTTCTATATTGGAACTGTCTGGAGGAAATCCTGTGTCCTGTGACATGTCTGGCTGGAGCCGAGGTTTCCCTCCTGTCCCCAGTGTTCCCCCACCCCGTCCCTGGTGGTGGGAGCCCTGGCAGCTGTCGCAGACCCTTCCCCGTCCATGGGGGTCTGGTACACATGGTCTCTGCACTTGGCAAGGAAAGGCATGCCGCAAATGCGGGGCGCAGCCCGTCCCATCCCGAACGTGCTTGCGCGGGTCTTCTCCTCAGATAACGTCTGTATCCTGGAATCACCCCATCGGTTTAACCACGCAAATGCCGCAGAGGGTGCCTGCGTGCGGCGCGGAAAGGGGGGTGGGAGGGGCAGGACGGGTGCAGGTCCCGTTATATTGTATTTCAGGGA